TATATATACAAAGAAATCAATACTGTCAAAACAATTATTAAACAAAAGGAACATTTTCTATGTTCTTTACAAACAGAAATCAAACATGAAATAATATGTGAAAAATTACAAACCTCTGAATTAATACAAAAAATACAGTCCTTTAAGACATTAATTGAAAAAGAAATATGTAATGATTTACCTAATGTATTCTAGAATAGGAAACAACATATTATTAGTTTACCTTATGAGCCTGATGTTGATGAAAAGAAAATACTTATAACAGCTAGACCAATTCAAATGAATAGTGAATTACTACAAACATGCAAAACTTAAATAGATGAATTATCCAGAAACAACTAATAAGACCTAGTCAATCCCCTTGGAGTTGCTCAGCGTTTTATATAAATAAGAATGCTGAAACAGAAAGAGGAGTTCCTCGACTAGTAATAAATTATAAACCTCTTAATAAAGTTTTACAATGGATTAGATATCCAATTCTTAATAAAAAAGATTTATTAGACAGACTTGTTAATGCAGTCATCTTTTCTAAATTTGATATGAAATCAGGTTTTTGGCAAATACAAATTAAAGAAGAAGATAAATATAAAACAATATTTAATGTACCATTTGGCCAATTTGAATAGAATGTCATGCCTTTTGGTCTAAAAAGTACTCCATCTAAATTTCAAAAGATAATGAATGATGTATTCAATCCTTATCATAAATTTATGATAGTCTACATTGATGATGTCTTAATATTCTCTGATTCTATTGATCAACATTTTAAACATCTTAACACTTTTATCAATACAGTGAAACATGCTGGGTTAGCTGTTTCTACTAAAAAAATTAATTTATTTCAAACCAAAATAAGATTTTTAGGACATAATATTAACCAAGGCACTATCATTCCCATTGATCGATCTATTATATTCGCTGATAAGTTCCCTGATAAAATTCTAGATAAAACCGAACTTCAACGATTTTTAGGATGTTTAAACTATATTAGTGATTTCTATAAAAGTCTTGCTCTTGATGCTAAACCGTTATATGATAGACTAAAAAAAAATCCTCCACCTTGGACGGATCTTCATACTAAGGCAGTTCAACGACTAGTAGAGAAGTTGTATTCATCTAGAGATTTGATCAAAGTAACTGGTTTGGGTTTTTCTTTAGTTAAATTAATAAATTGTGTGATAACCTGTCTTTTGTCATCGGGATCAGATATTTTCTCTATTAGATCTAGAATAAAATTTTATTCTTTTGTTAGGGTATGAAGATTATGAGTTGGAATTTTACCAGAACAAGTTGGAATTTTGCCAGAGCATTGTTCGCATAGATCATTATCAGATTCATCTAATGTATCTGACCAAACAAGATTTTCATCTTGTATATTTCCTAGTAATGACATATCACTACTGGATTGAGAATCTGTATCAGAACTAGTAGATGAATTATATATTTGTACTAGGTCAAATAGATTATTTCTTAAAGAATCATCTAATATAAGAGTTTCGATTTTCTTTTTAACTTTGCATTGGCTTTTATAATGGCCAATTTTACCACATTTATAACAGACATGCAATTTTCTTCTTTTGCCTTTTTTCTTAAAGGCAGAATATTTGGGAACAAATCGTTTGATAAATTTATCTCTTTTCTCTCTATGTTTATATTTCTTAAAATAATATCTTTCTTTTTGGTTAGATCTATGTATTTTTTTATGAGA